ACTATGTGCCGGGTGTTATATAGTGCCTACTATGTGTCGAGTGAAACAACCACCTCACAACAATCATGGGAGGCGATACTTGATTACACTGTTGTCCACAGATGAACAAGCTGAGAAGAACATCTCTAGAACCCAGGGAAAATTTTTCTTTGGAGGGCTAACGTGCAGAATGAAGTGTGGATGGATCCAATCTGGAAGCCGTACCTAGGCTCATGAGAGCAGAATCCCCCAAAGGCTTGTCTGGTTGGTGTGAAGGAAGCCTTCCATGTATTTTCTTCAATGAGTTGTTAGGCTAAGTCTCAACTCTATGACCTTGGTCAGATAGATTCCCTTACTCTAGTCCTCAGTTTCCCCATATGTAAATGAGAGGTCTTAACTAGATTATCTCTAATATTTCTTCCAGTTCTAAATTCCTTTCTCTTTTCCAAGGCTGTGAGGTCCTCTCATTTTAAACCCAAGTGAGAAACACATGTAAGCTATTATCATCTTGGGGCAGCTATGGGGGGGGGGGTTTGGAGATGTTCCCTACTAGGTGACAGCAAAGCACAATTTGATGGCCAAGTAACCGTCACCATAGCTATGCGCTAGTGGAATTTTGCTTCCTTTCTAAAACCTCTGTTCAGGAACACGAGTCTACAGCCTTTGAGAAAGGAGTCTGCAGCCCACCCCCCAACCCTGAAGTACAGGGCCCCCCCAGGAAACCCACACTCCGGGAGGGCTGGGCGGTCCTGGCCCCAAGTTTCCGGGTTCTATAACTGCGTGCAGGGTTCTGCCAATCAGCAGGCTGCCTGCCAGAGGCCCCGCAGGCCGGCCGGCTTGCCTGGGCCTCTGTTCCCCCCCCCACCCCCCACCATAGGGGCGGGGGGTGGGGGATGATCCACTAGAAGCGGCAGCCCCCAGCGCTTTACGTCAGCGGGGTGTACTTTCCCCGCCCTGCCTGCAGCCAGATGTCCTAACTCCAGTACAGTTCTCCCTCCCGGGGCCCTCTGAATAAATCCTGAGCTCCAAGAATCTCGGGGCTCCGACTTGCCGGCGAGAACCAAAGCTGGTCCAGCACCAGCCTGACCTCTCCGAGCCCCTAGGTCGGAGGAGGGAGGGGAGAGGGGAGAGGGATAGGGGCTGTGGCGGGGAGGGGAGACGGTGGGGAGGGGCCTGGAGCCCCTCCCCTAAGAGAAGAAGCAGGCGGAGCCTGAGCTCGTGGTAACAATACTTTACTGAACAGAAGGTCAGAGTACAGTATTACATACTGGAATGTGGAGTAATAGCAAAAGGGGGGAGGGGGATGGAGGGGGGGTGGGGTTTTTTCTTAAAAAAGAAAAACCAACCCACCCACCACGTTGTTCCCAGTATAAACATAAATAGGGCAATTCGAACACTTCAAACAAAAAAAATAGCTTGAAATTCTGTAAGTGTCACATTTACACTTTGTACAAAGGGAGCGGGAGACTCGGGTTTGTGCAAACCGGACACGATAAAGGTGAGGGAGAGGGGCGTAGAAAAAGGGACAGACGGACGGACTAGACGGTAGCGGCCCAAACAGCTCACGGGGCTTGTAAACAGGGGGCAGGGAAGCCCCCCAGCAGCTAGAGCCCAGGGACAGGGGGTCAGTCTTCAGCGCTCAGGCCTTCCGGGCTGGGAGCTTGTCTCTCCCTGATGCACGCCACGGCCCCTCTCAGCTAGAGCCCCCAACCCTAAGTCCAGGCTCCCTAAGTTTGCTACCCCCCATCCCGTTTCCTCGCATTCCTAGTAACGCCGTCCGAAGTCCATTGCAGTCCGCCTGGAGGCCACTCTGGATCCGGCAAGGAGAGAGCGTGAAGCGCTGGTGGTCAGAGCAGCTGGGGCCCGGGGCTGTGTGCGCGCGGACTGCTAGAAAATGGGGGCCTCCAGTAAAGCTTGAGCCCTAAGGATTAGTTCTAGCCCCGAGCCAGGCGCCCGGGGTCAGTCGAAGGGTCCTGGCCCCAGAAGGTGAGAGGATGGTCAAAAAAGAAGGGTCGGCCAGGCCAGGAACGCGCCCTAAGAAGCAATCCCGAGAGGGACGCCTGAGCTCCGTCCCGGCCCCCGAGGGTTCGGGGGGGAGAAGAAAAGCAGCCGAGCATGCGCCCTGAGGGAGAAGCAGTCCCGAGCCGGGCTCTCGAACTCAGTCAGTAAAGGAGTGGGTGGCCCCGGGACCCCCGTCCCGCACCCTGGGCCTCGAGGAAGCTTAGGCTCTCGGCCCCCCTCAGTACGCGGGCACCTGGTGCTGGGGCAGGAGCTGGCAGCCGCTGTTGACGTGACTGAGCACCTTCTGCTTGAGCTGCGCCACCTGCTCACGGAGAAGGTTGGCCGTGGACGCCAGCTCCGTGTTCTGGCTCTTGAGGCTCTTCACCTTCTCCTCGAGCCGCGAGATCCGCTCCAGCTTCCGCTTGCGGCACTTGGAGGCTGCGATGCGGTTCCGCAGCCGCTTGCGCTCCGCCTTGATGCGCTCCTGGGTGTCCATGTCGATGGGTGACAGCGGCGGGCTCTCCCCGAAGCTGGGCACATCGGGCACGATTTGTGGCTCGTCCTTGAGCGCCTGGAGCCGGGGGTGCGGCTGGGGAGGGCCGGGGCCGGGCCCGGGTCCCAGGCCAGCAGGGGGTGGCGGGTAAGGCACCGTCTCCGTGCTGTAGTTGACCGTGGTGCCGCCCAGCGCGCTCGCCGAGCCCGTGTAGCTGCTCAGGTTGGCGTAGACGGGCGGCTCGGGCTGCGCCAGGGACGCGGCGGCCGCGGGCCCCGCGCTCAGCTCCACGCCCGCCCCGCCTGGCGTGGGCGCACAGCCGCCCGCTGCCCCCGTCGGCCCTCCGGCCCCGGCCTGCCCCGCGCCGCCCCCGCCGCCGCCGCCGCCAGCGCCGCTCAGCTGGTTCTGTTTGTGCAGGTCCTCCAGGGCCTTGACGAAGCCCTCGGCGAACTCTTGCTCCTCGCTGGCCGCCACCTTGGGGTACAGGAACTGGCTGCTAGTGGGGGTCGTGGTCACCAGCCCGTTGGACTGGATAATAAGGCGCTCCAGCTCCGGGGACGCCAGCTTCAGCAGGCCCAGGTCCGGCGACGTGAGCAGCCCCTCCGTGGCCGCCGAGGCTCCGGCCCCGCCGCCCGCTCCGCCACTCGCTCCGCCGCTGCCGCCGCCGCCGTCCCCGCGCAGGTGGTGGGCGCCGTGGGGTGGCGGCGGCGGCGGGGCGGCCTTCAGGGTGGCCACCACCTGATCGCTGAGGTTCAGGGTGAGGCCGTCCTTCTTCATCATGCTTCCGCCGCCGCCGCCGGCGAAGGGAGACGCGGCCGGGGGGAAGAGGCGGCCGGAGGAGGCGAAGCCGCCGCCGCCACCGCCGCCGCCGCTAGTGCTGGTGCTGCTGCCGCCGCTCAAGCTGCTTAACACATCATCATGGTAGAAGGGTGTTTCCATTCTCCACCTCCTCCCCCGCAGCGGCCCCGGGGAGGAGGGAAAGGAGGGGGAAAGGGGCGGGCCGGGAGGGGAGGAGGAGCGGCCCCGGGGGGGAGGGACGGGGGCGGAGGAAGTGAGGAGGAAGGAGGGAGCGGGCGGGGAAGGGGGCAGGCAGCTGCTTCCCCCCCCGAGGGGGAGGGGGCTGGGGGAGGAATCGCTCGATCAGCTCCCCCACCCCAAGACACGCTCCCTCAAAGCGGCTGCGCTCTAGTCGCAGCAACCCCTCCCCGAAATTGGACTGGCTGCTCGGTGGGGATAGCGGCGGACGACCCTCCCCACGGTACGCGCGCGTGCGCGCGCGCGCGAGCCTTATCTTTATCCCTGTCCCCGCCTACGCCTACCCCCCACCTTCTCGGGTGCCTGGGTTCGGGAGGCCGTTGCCCGCGCAGCCCCCAGCTCCAGCATCTTATACCCTCGGCCCGCCACGATGAGCTCACTTCGCCCGTTCCCCATTGGATGCAGATGACGTCTCCCCCTGACCCCCCCCTCATTTACATAGGGGGCAGGGCAGCTGGCAACCCCCCCCCTTTCCTCGCGGCCTCCCTCTCCAACCTCTCCGACCCACCCCCCCATCTCCCCCCACCCCAGCTCTGGTTGTCCCGGAGACGCTATGTAAACTGCACAACAGCGCGCGGCCTTGTGGGTTGATGTCATGGGGGCGGGGCCCCCCGGGGAGGGAGGGAGGAAAAGAAGGGGGTACGGTCACGTGGTATTTTCTGGAGCGGAGCTGGCCTCGGCCCCAGAGCACGTCAGGCCCTATTTATAGGCACAAAGGGAGTCGCTCGGAGCTGGACCCCAGAGCCCCTCCTCGGGCTGGCTCTGGGACCGCCCCCACCACCACCCACAGAACGTCACCCTTGGGGCACCCCACCCGCAGTGGCGTGATGTCCCCTGGCAGTTCTCAAGTTTATCCAGGGCCAGCCACGTCTGGGCACCCCCCTCCCCCCGCCCCAGACACACGCACACATAATATACACACCTTCCTGGGCTCCTGTCCAGCCTTCCCCAAGTCTGAATCCCTTGTTGGCTTCAGCATCCGGAGCTTTACGCCCCCCTCCCCATCATCTCTGGGGCAGGATACTGGTGTGGTACCAACGGGGCCTCTGTTCCCTCAGTGCCTTAGCTTAGAGGTTGTTAACCTGAGTTCCAAACCCTAAAAAGGTCCTTGAACTTCGATGGGAAAAAATTAGATTTTTATTTTCATTTTATTCTGACTGAAATTTAGCATTTCCTTCCATTAAGAAAATGGGCCACAAACATTATTCTGAGGAGTCCACAGAACAGACAGACTACCAAAGGGGGTCATGATACATAAAAGTTAAGAATCCCCAACCTATCTGGACAGGCACTCCCCCATATCCAACTACCTTTTTTGGGGGGGGTGAAGGAACATCCTCAGCGTCCAGTGATAGGGAGCTCTTAGGACTGCCCCTAACTCTCTGGGCTGACAGCATGAAAGCAGAGTCAACATCGTGGCAGCTGGTTATTATTATACTGTTATTATTATTATCATCATTATTATGGTTGCAGCCAGTGGGAGGTGAGAGGAGCCACCCCACACCCGGAGGGGAAAAGGAGGGCGGTGGTTGGGGTACTGGGAGAGTGGCTTTAACCCTTGGCCCAGGGGGCCTCCTCTCCTTAGCTTATACCAGAAAAGGGAACTGAAACCATAGAAACTAGCCCTGTGGGAGGTACAGAGAGAGCCATGCTCAGTGGGAGCTATGAGGGGCCCTCAGGCTAGCCAGGTGGAGCCCAGGGCCTGGCATGGAAAGCAGACACTGCCCAGCCCTCCACTGCCACAGCACCAAGAGCTGGTTGCTCTGGGTAAGTCAGGTCTCCCTGTTCAGGGTCCTGGGGAAGAGAGGTTGGCTGATATCAATGGGAGGTGGGGCTGGGAGAGGGGGTACCAGCAGAGATGTCTCCATAGAGGGGCTGCTGGCTGCCTTGCATGGCTCCATGGGGCCTCAGCCCCCACTCCACCCCCTGTCTTGGCCCCAGCCCCAGTCCTGAGGGCCAAGCCCATCTGGATCCTGGCAGCTGGCACCAGGCTGGGACACTGTGAACTCAAGGGGGGTGGGGAGCTGGTGTCCTTCTCTCTCCCCCCACTGCATGGGGCTTCAGTCTGCCAAGCCTCCCCACCCTTTGGTGGTGAAAGAGAAAGGTCTGGAAATTTCCCTCTTCTGGAGGAGGTGAGGGAGGCTTCAAGGGGGAAGTGGAGGTGGGGAGCCCTTTGGACCCTAAAGTGTTAACTTAAAGAGCAGAAATATAATACTCTTGGGGAACTTGAAAATCTCTTTCCTCTACAGTTTCAAAAGCACCACTCTAAACACACACTCCCACGTCCACACGGGCACCCACACACTTACCCAGAACGAATCAAATCCACACATACAGTCACACCCATAGGCAGGTTTATGAGTGGAGGAGGAGCATTGAAGGGGTTAGAGGGGCTTATGTAGGAGGGAACCCCATAGAGTGAAGATGGACAAGATAGGAGCCCCTGGACAGCAAAAGGAGAAATAATTTGGGGTGGTAGTCAGAGCAGTGAATATGGAGTCAGGAGACCTGAGTTTTAATCCCAGCTCAGGCACTCAGCCAGCTCTATAACCTTGGGCAAGTTATTTTGCCTCTCTGGGCCTCAGTTTCCTCATCTGTAAACTGAGGACAGACTAGGTGGGTCCCTTCCAGCACTAAATCCTATGGTCCTATAAATGGTGCAGGGTAGGGGGCAGAGACAGTGGTCCAGGGGAGTGGGAGTTGAGGACAGAAGAGAGCGGGATGGGATGGAGAGGTTAGGATTTGGCATTTGGAGAGTAAGATTCTAGGGGTAGGGATGAGGTGGGGGAAGTCTGGGAGCCTGGGCATCTGCAGTTATGAGGCTCAGGCTCCAGGAGTTGGGGGTGGGATGGGGCAGGGAATGAGGGAGGAGGAACTGAGAAGCCAAACCAGAGACTTGTAGAGGGGAGGGCAAGGAGTGAAGAGAGGCAGAGATCTGAGGAGTCTGATGACGGATTGGTGGAGCTGGGGTCTGACTCCGCTATTCTCCCTCAGATCCATCTTCCCTTTCTGAGGGACCATTAGGAGGCCTCTGAGGAGAGCCCAGTTTCCAAACTAGGACCTTACTCCTAAGGGAGGATCTTGAAGCTTCCAGGTTAATTTCATCGGGGGGGGGGAAAAAAAGGAATTAAATATGACAGTAGAAATGGCTGAGGTTTGGGGGTTCAGAAAACCTGGGTTTGCCTCCCATCTCAAACACTAATCATCAGTATGACCTTGGGCTGGTTCTTTCTCCATTCGTGGCCTCAATTTTTCACATCTATGAAGGGAGGGGGCTGGACTAGATGTCTCGGGCCCCTCCCAGCTCTAAATCTGCTGATCACCACTGTTTGTGAGGCTAACAGCTTCTCGCAGTCTCAAAGGGGCAGCCTGAAGCCCTGGGAGTTAGACCTGGCAGTGGAGTTCAAACCCCACCCTTTCCCCTTCCTCTTCCTTCACCCACCCCTTCTCCCCTGCCAACTGGGGCCTGAATTATCAGACCAGACAGGCTTCACCATTAGAGGCTTGATTTAGAAATGAGGTTTAGCTCGTTTGGGAATAAACCTCAGGAGGGTGGGTGGTTTCCCCCCCTCTGCTGGTAGGAGCAGAGGGCCTCTGTGGGTGTTTTTTGGTATGGTTGGGTATTGGCTGTGGCAGTGTTTGTGGTTGTATGCCTGTCTCTGTGAGTTTTTGTATCTGGGTGCATCTCTGTGGATAGCTGTCATCTCTGCTTATGTCCATATGTTTTGTGTATACCTGCATATGTGAGGGTGTCTGTATGTGCATGGCCTTGGGTGATTGTCTGACCCTTTAGTGGATTTAGAGTTAGAAGGGACCTTAAATGTCCCTCATTTTACAAATGAGGAAACCGAGGCCCAGAGGTCAGGTGACTTACCTAAGATCACACAGGTAGAAAGTGATAGGGGCTTGCAGGTTGGAGTATTAGAAAGATTGAAGGAACTGGAATCAGAAAGGACCTGAGATCAAATCCTACCTCCTGCCTACACTTAGATAGCTGTGTGACTATTGGTAAATCACATGCTCTCAGGCCTTCAGTCTCCTCATCTGTAAAACAGCAATGTGTTCAGATTTTTTTTCAGTCATGTCTGACTCTTTGTGACTCCTTTTGGAATTTTCCTGGTAAAGATACTGGCATGGTTTGCCATTTCCTTCTCCAGCTCATTTTACAGATGAGGAAACTAAGGCAAAGAAGGTTAAGTGACTTGCCCAGAGTCACATGGCTAGAAAGTACCTGAGATCAGATTTAAACTCAGGTCCTCCTAACTCTAGGGCTGGCACTCTATCCACTGTGCCACCTACCTGGCCAAAACAGCCATAGTGATACTTGTAATGCCCACCCACTCAACAGGGTTGTTGTGTAAGTCAAATGAGATAATGCAGAAAATGTTTCATAAGCCTTAAAAGTGGCACCATGGAAAGCATATGAAATCTGGAGTCAAAACGGGGTTCGAGTCCTGTGTGACTTCACCTCAGTCTCTTCATCTGCAAAATGGGAAGGGTTGGACTAGGTGACCTTCACGGTGTCTTTCAGTTCCAAGGCTATGATTGCGTATCCTCCCCAAACGTCAGCCACTATTATTATTGTGGTTGTTATGGCCCGTGTCATTGCCTCGGTTTACTGTTATGTGTCTGTGGGTCTGTCACTGTGCCTTTTCCCCAGGGGGGAGGGACACATGGAGGGCCTGGGGAGAAGAAGCATCAGCAGCAACTCAGAGTTCATAAGAATTTCACCAGCCACGAAGCCAGGGAGTCCTACAAGCTGGTTCCTGCCCAGACCAGTGATGTTTATGTTCTGAACTAACCTGCAGATCAACTCTTCCCCTGAGCTGTTGGCCCTAGGCCCAGGCCAGCCCAGAGAGTTCTGGGCCCAGAGCCAGACCAAGGTCTCTTGTGGAGATACCCAACCCCCAGTCTCCAGCCTTTCCCCTTCTCACTCCTTCACTTGTCCCTACACACGAGTGATGGAGAGTCACAGACTGTCAGCTAGAAGGGGCCTTATGCCCTACTCCCCTTCATGACCTTCATGCCCAGACAATGGGGCCTTCTCCACGTTCCTAACACACACCACTCTGTCTCCCCGTCTGTACCACTGTTCTAGCTGTTTGGGATGTATGTCTGTGTCTTTCTTCAGTTTCCTTCACAGTTCAAAAGCCATCTTCTGCATGAAGCCTTTCCTGATCCCCTCAGCTGCTAGTGCTCCCCCCAAAAAAATTTACCTTGTGTTTATTTTGCATATGTGAATGTAATAAGAGGACTGGCCACTGAGTTCAGATACAAAAGCATTTATACTCTCTTCCTCAGGTCTTTTGCTGAGAGTTGCCGGGGATAGGAGGGTCAGCCACAAGCCGTGTTATGTATGTGTTATGTTAGGTTACGTATAACCTTGTGAGCTGCAAAAGACAGAAAGAACCATCAGAAATTCCCCCAGCCACTAGAATCAGTAGCAGCCCAGAACCAATAGCCGAGTCCGAGGAGGAGCCAGCCTGCTTGGCCCTATCCGGCACTTGATTGACTCATCAGCTGAGATGCCACATTCTGAAAGGAGCTAGCCCAGCTGAGCAAGGGAGTAGCCTTCTCCATCACTGATGCCTCACCTTGAATTGAACTTGCTGGGGACTGCCAAAAGAGAAAAGGATTCCCAGCATCACTGTCTCTTCAATAGGAGAACCAGGCTCCCCAAGTACTCCAGTTCCCTGAGGAACAGTTCAGTCTGGGGCTCTAGGCTACGGGGACCTCCCCAACGGGGGGGGAGAATTTAAAAAGGTACCCAGAATACAAATGTGAATCACGTATAGGCCAGGCAGTTTTATTCCCACATGCAGAAAAGGGAGCAAAAATATAATCGAATGATTACAGTCATTTGAGAAGTTACAATCAAGCCTCTTTGGGACATTTGCGATGGAGCTGCACATTCTCTGCGTCGGGCTTCATCTCTAGCCCTCTCAGCACTGAACAGGCTCTTTCAGTGACCTCCCTCTGTTTTTGTCGTCGGGAGGCTTGCCCTCTTGCCAGGTCTGCTGCTGCTTCTGCTGTTGCCAATGTTGTCGATACAAGCAATTCAGTAACCGTTTGTACCTGGCTGTTCATCCAGCCAGGGGTGGGAGGTGGGGAAAGCAGCATTTTAGGCCATTCACAATCTCACAAGACCCTATCCAAAGTAGACAAACAACAGCAGCAGCGTGCCAGGCACATGCTTGCTACAAGGCCAGGAGCTCGCATTGTTCTATTACTGGGGAAGGCAGGGAAGAGAGGAGGAAAGGGGCATCTCTTGGCCCGACTCCTCTGACCTCCCTACACCCCACTTCACTGACCGTCGAGTTATCAGGAAAGAGAAGCTTTCAGGGCAGGGATCGCCCCTTTATACTATACTACAAAATAGCTCACATCCATATGGTGCCTATGATGCTCCTTTTACAAATATTATCTCATTAGATCCTCACAGCAACTTTGGGAGGTAGGTGTTGTCACCCCCATTTTACAGATGAGGAGACTGAGGCAAACGGAAGTTAAATGACTGGCCCAGGCCATACACACCTAATAAGTGTCTGAGATTGGATCTGAACCCAGGTCTTCCTAATTCCAGACCCAGTGCTCTATCCATTGTGCTACCTGGTTGTCTGTGTCATTATTACTAGATCACCAGGAGAGAATCAAGATATCTGCGCCTTCTCTGAAGGGAGGGGTGGGGAGGAGGGAAGAGGGCGGAGGAGCATCCCCCGGGGGAGGGGAGTACGACATGTAAAATGGAGGAAATATCAACATTTATT